TTTATTAAAATATTCCTATCCAAACCCAAGTAACGAAGGTGGAGGCATTACTTTTCATTCAACCCTCATATCATTGCTCTCTTCTTGCCTTTCAAATGTAGCTAACTGCTGAATTACGCAAGGCATAGACTTGCATATACAGCACTCCACAGAGTAAGCACTTGATGTGTATAATCCACAATATCTAAAATATGAACATTCAATAATTTTCTAAAAGAAGCAGAGCTCTATAGACACTTGAAAAGTGCAAGAAAGCAGCAAATGACTTAAGCAATTTCTGACTTTCTCACTTGTTACATCCAGTGAAAATTGACTGCGACATTTGTAGTCCAAACATGCCTTTAAAGTCTGAAATCAAACTAGTTTTCTGAAGAAGGAATACAAGGTGTTAATCATTTTTCAAATTAGAAAAATAATTTTAAAATTCCCTTATTTTCACCTTTTACAATCAAATACTGTTACGTTATGTATCTTGTTAAGGCTTCGTCAGAAAGAAGCAGCCACCATTTAATGGAGCTGACTTCCAACTCGACATTTTTGAAATTTCAAAAATATATTAATTTTCAAAAAAATATATGCTTTACAAATATTCGCGATAAGCCGCAAAATAGTTGGGAAAATACATCAGTAAAAAATGAATCGTGTTATCTCTTGGGCAGTTTAGGAATCCACCTTCTGACACGCCAGCCTTGGCATCCGAATCAGATTTCAAAGATTTATTCTCTTTCCTTTAGCAAGGCGACTTCGAAGCATCCAAGCATCCTAAGAACAAGAACAGAAAAAAATGAGTTGTGATTTCCTCCTCCCTTTCTCTGTCCACAAGATAATTCCTGCAACATAACAAAATAGATTATGTTTATACAACATGGATTCCTTGCATCCAGTTTTGGACCATCAGGAGCACAATGGAAGGAAGCATATATGATACAGTTCAGGCATACCTCAGTTAACAAAGCTTCTAGATTGAAGTTCCTGTTTAGAAAGGCCTTTTTATACCCATCCATCCGGTTCCCTCCCTTTTCCTCTGCTTAGCTGAACATCTTTAGCAGCTCAGACTTTGGCTGTTGTGCTGCAATAGTATGTTTACAGTAAATAATCCAGTAATGAAACTTGAGCTTGAAGTCACAAAATACTGAAATATAGTGAATTATTCTTTTTTGTGGTGTAGAAATCGATACCCATTATTTCCTTGTTGTTTGCTAGTAACAAATTTTCTGTTTGGTACTAGAAGTAATGCCCAGGAACACATTTACGTCAATAACTGACATACTGGAATCTACAGATTTGTAAATTTTGGATATATATCCCACATCTTCACACAGTTCCTATACAGCACAACCTCAACTTGAAGAGTATCCTGGCCTAAGAGTATTTTGAGTTAAGAACTGTCATTTGGCCTGGGTTTGCTTTGACATAAGAGCAGGATTTGAGTTAAGAGCTAGTACCAGAGGGAGCACAATCGGGAGTGTTAGCATGAGAGTTAGCAGGGATTTAGGGCTTCAAGGGAGCAGCCTCTGTGCCTCATACTCTTGTCTGCTTTGCTGTTGCCTGATATGAGGAGCTTTGATTATGTTCAGCGTTTCTCAACATGGGGATTGCAACCCCTGGAGGGTTCACGAGGGGTGTGTGTGAGAGGGGTTGCCAAAGACCATCAGAAAGCACAGTATTTTCTGTTGGTCATGGGAATTCTGTGTGGGAGGTTTGGCCCAATTCTATCGTTGGTGTGGTTCAGAATGCTCTTTGATTGTAGGTGAACTATAAATCCCAGCAACTAAAACTCTCAAATGTCAAGGTCTATTTTCCCCAAACTCCACCGGTGTTCATATTTGGGCATATTGAGTATTTGTGCCAAGTTTGGTCCAGATCTGTCATTGTTTGAATTTACAGTGCTCTTTGAATGTAGGTGAACTACAACTCCAAAACTCAAGGTCCGTGCTCACCAAATCCTTCCAAATGTCAAGGTCTATTTTCCCCAAACTCCACCAGTGTTCATATTTGGGCATATTGAGTATTTGTGCCAAGTTTGGTCCAGATCTGTCATTGTTTGAATTCACAGTGCTCTTTGAATGTAGGTGAACTACAACTCCAAAACTCAAGGTCCGTGCTCACCAAACCCTTCCAGTATTCCATGGGAGTTCTATGTGCCTAGTTTGGTTCAATCCTATTGTTGTTGGAGCTCATAATGCTCTTTGATTGTAAGTTAAGTATAAATCCCAGCAACTACAACTACCAAATGAAAAAAAATCAATCCTTCCCAACCCCACTAGTATTCTAATTTGGGTGTATAAGATATTTCTGCCAAATTTGGTCCAGTGAATGAAAATACATCCACATATCAAATATTTACATTATGATCCATAACAGTAGCAAAATTATAGTTATGAAGTAACAACGAAAATAATTTTATGGTTGGAGGTCACCACAACACGAGGAATTATACTAAGGGGTTCCGGCATTAGGAAGGTTGAGAACCACTGGATTAGTTGATATTGTGTGTTTTTCTTATTCCTGATATGTTTGGCTTCATGAAGAGAGGGAGAGAGAGCAAGAGAGGGAGGGAGGCTGGAATGAGTACAGTATGACAAAAATGATGCTTCTGCCTCTTTGCTTTGTGCTTCTACCATTTTAAAGTTGATCTTTCTTTTTTTTACTGTTCCACATGAATGTGCATTTATACATTATTTGTTATTTATAAAAACATTTTCTTATTTAAATACACCTAACAAAAAGGGGGTGGATTAATAGCATTTGAATGGGAAATTTCACTTTGAGATAAGAGCATTTTGAGTTAAGAGCTTGGCCACAAAACAAATCAAACTCTTAACTCAAGGCATCACTGTACTGGGCCACAAAAACTCTCATAAAAGGAAGAAGCGTAGCATAATGTACTGTGTGCTAGACTTGGACCTGGAAGGCCTAACTACTGGCCTGTTCACTGACCGAATTAATGAAGTACAAGGGATCTCATCTCATCTACCTTGTGGAATTACTTGGCACAGTTTTGATTACCTACAACACTCAGGATATGTCATAATACTAATAATATAATATAACATATTGTATATACATATAATATTTATGATATTATAATGTAATACAATATTACTCATAATACAATATTATAATTATATATTTTATATTACAATATAATTGTGTATATAGCAATATATAATACTGATGTTGTACTATGCTAATAATTTAATATATTGTATGTATGTATATATATCTTGTAAGCTGCTCTAAGTCCCCTTCAGGGTGAGAAGGGAGGGATATAAATGTCACAAATAAATAAATAAATAATATGACTTAAATAGAAACAATCTCTGTTTGGAAAGCTCTGTTTTGCTCCACCATAAGTCATTTTTGCAGCATGCTACTGGATAGAAGGATGTGCATTTATGTCTTACTAGCTGTACCCGCCACGCGTTGCTGTGGCCCATTGTGGAGAAATGGGAAAGAAAAGAGGAAGAGCTGGTTTCTAAGCTATTAATACACAACGAAAGTGGCAAGGTGTCAACCTAAAACTGGCCCATTTCAGTCTCCTTGAGGCCAAAGGGTTATATGGATGTGTGGAGTCCACACTGAGTCCACACTGCCATATAACCCAGTTCAAAGTTATTATATAGGTATTGTTGTCATTATAGACATATAGATATTATTATAGGCATATAGATATTATTATTATAGATAGAAATATTATTATTAAAGATATATAAAAAGATAAAGGTAGTCCCCTGACATTAAGTCCAGTCATATCTGACTCTGGGGTGTGGTGCTCATCTCCATTTCTAGAGCCAGCATTGTCCGTAGACACCTCCAAGGTCATGTGGCCGGCATGACTGCATGGAGCGCCGTTACCTTCCCGCCGGAGCGGTACCTATTGATCTACTCACATTTGCATGTTTTCGAACTGCTAGGTTGGCAGAAGCTAGGGCTGACAGCGGAAGCTCACGCCGCTCCCCGGAATCGAACCTGCGACCTTTCGATCAACAAGCTCAGCAGCTCAGTGCTTTAACCCACTGCCCCATTATAGACGTTATTTATTTATGAATTTCATATGAAAAGCATTGCATAAATTAGTATAAAACTGATAAAAAATAGGAGCATAGGGCTCAATATCTTTCGAGGAAAAACAGGAAACAGATGTATGGATATTATTACAGACCTATAGATATTATTATAGACATATAGATGTTATTATTTTTATTGTTATTTTTATAGATCTTATATAGCTATTATTATTATAGATGTTTACATATTATTATACTTTATATAGATATTATTATTATAGACATAGATATTATAGGCATATAGGTATTATTGTTATAAATGTACAGATATTTTTGACAGACAGATATTATAATAATAGACATATGGATATTATTATAGACCTGTAGATATTATTATAGGCATATAGACATTATTACAGATATATAGATATTATGATAGAAATGTAGATATTATTGTTAAAGACATATAGATATCATAGACATATATGTTATTATAGATTGATAGATATTATTATTATGATAAATATATATATGTTATTGTTATTATTGTAGATATAGCCCAGGGTTGGTATCTTTTGGGAGTGTTTTGATTCTGACTTCCTGGACAGCCTTTGCTAACTCACAGAGCATGCCTTTTTGTCCCTTCTTTGAATATTGGACTTCATTTCCCAGAATGCCTTCCCATAACTCAGTATGGGTGGGGTTTCTGGGCACACACACACACACAGAATCCCTGTGAGTTCCCAGCAGCCCAGCGGAAGCAGCAAGGTAAGAAGGAAAGGATCGATCTCTCTCTCACTCTCTCTCTCCCCTTTCCCTTTCTTGTGCCGCCTCACTCTCTTTCTCTCTCTCTCTCTCTCTCTCTCTCTCTCTCTCTCAGTGGTTGGGTTTTTCCCCCTCATGCAGGAGCGAGGAGCAGGGGAAGGGTTCTTTTAACACAGGCCCTATATAGGCATTTAGCCTTGTTGGGGGTGGGGGGGGGGGTAAGTTCTTTCCAGTTAATTATTATTTATTTGTTTTGAGTGGAGAACATAAATTGGACTGTTAGGTGTATCGTGTCCAAATTTGGTGTCAATTCCCCCAGTGATTTTTGAGTTCAGATGGTAGCACAAACGAACATTACATTTTTATTTATATAGATTTGTTATTTATAAAGTACAATTTCTTAGCTCATATAGCTGTAGAGTCCTTTAAAAGTTTGTGAGACGTGCTTGCTAAGATTTCTGAGACCAGAAATACAGGTCAATAAAATTCCCCAGGCTTTGTGGCCGTGCTTTAGTGCCTTAAATTACTTTCTTTAGGCAGGCAGAATTATTATACATAAGTATTTAGTTATTTATCATAGAAATGTCTATACTTTTTTCCCAATGAGAATTCCCAGGGCAGTTTGCATAAAAAGGATTGTAACAGATTACAACAACAATGGACTATGCAAAATATGGGATAGCATGCAAAGGTATCTGGAGTGTGCATAAAAATTTACATATTGCAACATTCAGATTTTCCTATAATTCAGATGATCTCGTTACAGAAATGTAATTTTTTTTAGTGGGGATTTAACACAGATCTGGATCCAGCAGAATCCTCTCTGTAAAGAGATCACTAAATTCAATTTAATTATGTATTATGCTTCCAGCACTGTATGCAGTTACTGACAAGCAGCACACCTAATACCCCAAATACAGGCATTTGTACTAATCTGATAATGAGCACAGACACTTTTAGATTCTTGCCAAAAATTAAAATACCACATCAAAGAAGACAACGTTTTCAGGTCCTGGTTTGAAGTCTTATACAACAAAAAGGAAAAGAATCTATGCTCAACATCAAAGGATTTACCTTGATAGGCCATTTCCACTAAATAATCTTTTCCAGAACTCCATCTAAAAGTAAACATGCAATACAAAATGAATGGCTGCAGGATGTTAAAAAGAAAACTTGCCTTCAGGTTGACATGTGAGTCTATGCCATACTTTTTTCTTGCAATCTCTTGAATTTCTTCCTCAAAGTGCTCCTGAGAAGTACCTTTCACATCAATGTAGTGGCAGTCAGAACTTGCATAATGACATGAGATTGCCTGCATTAAAAAACAACAACCTGAAATTGTTGTAAACTGCCTTTCCTGTAAAGTTTGGACTTATCTAAGGCAAGAGCCTCAAAATAAAATAAAATAAATAAAAATAAATATCTACCAAATCCATCAAAGTTGTATTTTGTACTTTAGATGCTACAATTGAAACACATAGAGAACATAAGTCACCCCCTCTTGACCCCGAGAGTGGCGGAGACCCCCGCCTTCAAGTTGGTATGAACCGCAGCAGAGAGTTCCGCAGTTCCTGGGAGCCAAGTTTGGGACCAACTGATGAAATGTGCCCCAGCAGACAGCTCAAAACTAGGACTGCACTCAGCTTTCATTACTTTCCCCCAAGCCCTGACTTTGTAACAAATCCCTAATAAAGATACTTAAAAATTGCAACTTTTTAACCTTTCCGCTTGATACTTTATATCCTTCTCTGCCTAAGCTACCCAAAACATGAAACAAACCTCTTTCTAGGCTCCGAGCGACCGCGGGCCTGCCCGGGATGCCTTCCTGGCACCCCAGGGAGGCCGAATCTGCGTCAATTGGAACCGCGGATACGGAAGCCTTCCTATTGGGCCCCCGTATCTGCTAAAACTTCAAAATGGCGGATCGGCCCCATTTTAATGCCATATTTTTCTGTGCACGATCCTTAACCAAACTGCTATCTCGCTTTTCTCATTTTGGATCCCTATGCCCGGGAAATAATTATTTTGTTTTAAGTAATATAACTTGACAGAAAACAGCTGATTGTCAAACTTCGCCTGTTTCGCGCAAGCAGTCAATTTCTCTTCGTTGCCGCTTGTTCCTGCCTAGCCCCGCAACCAGGGACTTGCTGCGGATGCCCCCAGGAGACCTCAAAGAGGGGGCAGGGCAGGAGGCCCAGTCCTTGGGAGGGAGATATAGTTCCCCAAGGACCAGGTTATGGATTTGCTACTTATCAACCCGGCACCCATCTGCAAACTTCAACCAGGAAAAATGACTTTCTGCTGCTTGCCTTGGACTGCAAGCCGCCTCCATTTCCACAAACTTTCCCCAGAAACATGGGACTTCAAGTTTTCAAATAAAAATCAATTATTTTATTAAATGATTAAGGTGTGGGTTGGGAATGGGGTTTCCTACATGAGTTTTGCATTGATGATAAATGTATGAAATGTCGCTTGTTTCCCCCACCTTTCCCCTTGCCCTTTGCCCCAGAAAATGTGACCAAGGATTGTTGTAATGCCCGAGGGAGGACCCCTGCCTCCCTCGAAACTCATTTGATTATTTCTCATTTGTATGGACAATAACAAGTCAAGATTTCCTTTCCAGCTCTCTGAGTTCGTCTGGCAGGTGCGGAAGTCTATTTGGACATTTTTGATTGATTCACAAAAAGACAGGAACGACCCCCAGGGTCCCCTTGTCCTGGCTTTGTTGTTCTTTCGGTCAAAACTCATCAAGGACACTTCTTATCTGACCTCAAGACAGGAAAGTCTTTCTTGTGAAGATCACGCCTAGCCGGCCAAAACAAAGGCTCAATTTCCAGCTGGCCGGCTATCGATAATCCCATCATTTCCCCCATTGTCCATGGTCGTCCCGCCTTCTCTCTTCTGATTTGTCCATCCTCGGAAGCGAGAGGCGGAGAAGATTGCTGATTGGCCCAGAGCAAGGCGGGCCACCAAGCCTCCTCCCAGCTGTTCAGGCTGTCAACCAATCAGCGTGAAGCCGGGCAGAGAGGGGCAGGCGGGAAATTCAAACTGTTTTGCTGTATTTTCTCTATAAAAATGCTTGTAAATTCTGTAGCGGTATGCTTGTTGAGGAAATATCCCTATAATTGCATCCAATCTCAGCTGAATCGCTAATAAAGACACCTCGGTCGCTGACTTCTTCCGCTTTGGTGAGGATTTATTATTTTAAATATTTTTGSTGCTGGAATTGGCTTCGCTGCCCTCACCAAGGTTCAAGGACCCTCTTTGGTGCYGTCCTCAGGATCTCCTCAGCTGGGGAGGTCCTCCTAAAAGAGGCTCGATATCACTCTGAGTGCAAAATGAATATATTTCTTGTATTGTCGAATGCCAGAATCACTGGACTGTTGTGTAGTTTTCGGGCTGTATGGCATTGTTCTAGCAGCATTTTCTCCTGACGCTTCACCTGCATCTGTGGCTGATATCTTCCGAGACTCCTCTGAAGATGCCAGCCACAGATGCAGGTGAATSYTCAGGAGAAATGCTGCTAGAACACGGCCACACAGCCCGGAAACCACACTCCACTCCACATATATTTCTTGTTGCTGTGGAAATTGATAATAATAATAATAATAATCTTTATTTATACCCCGCAACCATATCCCCGCTGGGGACTCGGGGCGGCTTACATGAGGCCAAGCCCAGACAACAAATTACAGCAGAATAAAACTGAAAACGCAAACAATAAACAACAAATTAATCTGTTGAGTGCCATGTGGTAGGAGAGAGGGCTGAAGCTAGGAGTGGAGACCAGGGCTGAAATATGTAGTTAGGGTAAAGGTAAACATTTTCCCCTGACATGAAGTCCAGTTGTGTCTGACTCTGGGGTGTGGTGCTCATCTCCATTTCTAAGCTGAAGAACCGGCGTTGTTGGTAGATACCTCCAAGGTCATGTGGCCAGCATGATTACATGGAGCGCTGTTACCTTCCCGCCAAAGCGGTACCTATTTATTTACTCACATTAGCATGTTTTCAAACTGCTAGGTTGGCAGAAGCTGGGGCTGACAGCAGAAGCTCACACCGCTCCCCGGATTCGAACCTGTGACCTTCTGGTCAACAAGCTCAGCAGCTCAGCACTTTAACCCACTGCACTACCAGGGGCACCATAAATATGTGGATACTTAGTGTAAATTACTTTCCAAAACTCATTCAAAAAAAGGATTAAGAAATACCACTACTAAATAAAAAGCTTAGAGTGCTTTGATTCTCAAGGGGGGGAACCATACCAGGCATTCACAGCTGCAACATCATCTAGTGTCTTACCTTTCGGAAGCCTTCAGTCCTGTTCATCCCAGAGCCATGGATCAGTAAGGGGTGGAAAAACACAGTGTCTCCTTTCTCCATAACCAGGTGAACTCTTGGGGTGCTTTTATCAAAGTCACGGATTCCATGGTACATTTTGTTTACACCACCCTAGAAAGTCAATGTAAAAAAAAATCAGATCTTTCTTCTAAAGTTGCCAGCTTTTCTAATAAAGTAATAAGCTTGCCACTTTATCATGTCAGGCGATTTCAGGATAGATGGACTAGAGGAAGAAAGGAGGGCACCACTGAACATCAGCATCTGGGGTTTAATTTGTATTGTCTTGGTTTTACTATAAGCCACTTTGTTTGTCTTTTTTAGAGAGAAAAGGTGGGGAACAATTATCTATATATATATAAATGCTCTGTGCACAATGAGTACCTTAAAAATAAAAGAACCAATGAACAAAATCACACCAAATTTGGCAACAAAATGTCTTACTACACGAGGAGTGGCCATCACTCAAAAAATTATTATTTTGTCATTTGAGGGTTGTAGCTGCTGGGATTTATAGTTCACCTATAATCAAAGAGCATTCTGAACTCCACCAACAATGGAATTGAACCAAACTAATAATAATAATAATAATAATAATAATAATAATAATAATACTTTACCATGTCCCCAAGGGATTCGGTGCGGCTTACATGAGGCCAAGCCCACAGTACATCAATAACAAAGCAATAACAAAACAATCAATGCAATACAATTAATATAAATCACATAGACAAAACAATAAACAATAACACACAAGCATTTAAAAAACCAATGGCCGGGCAAACTTGGCACACAGGACTCCCATGGCCAACAGAAAATACTGAAAGGGTTTGATGGGCATTGACCTTGAGTTTTGAAATTGTAGTTCACCTCCATCCAGAGAACACTGCGGACTCAAACAATGATGGATCTGGACCAAACTTGACAAGAATACTCAATATGCCCAAATGTGAACACAGATGGAGTTTGGGGGCAATAGACCTTGACATTTGGGAGTTGTAGTTACTAGGATGCATAGTTCACCTACAATCAAAGAGCATTCCAAACCCCACCAACGATGGAATTGGGCCAAACATCCCACTCAGAACCTCCATGACCAACAGAAAATTCTGTGTTTTCTGGTGGTCTTTGGTGACCCTTCTGACACCCCCCTGGTAACACCCTCCCCCCCGAGAAAATTATATTGGGTTGTTTCAAAAATTATGGCAATCTGAAATGGAGATTCCTCCTCAAGTGCCTTCAGTATGTAAGGTGACAACAAGGGTGATACTCCACTCTGCCATAGTGCTCCATTGGTATGTTTGACGTCAACTCTATTACAGTAGTATCAGGCTAATAGTGTTTTGTTTCCTTCAACTTTTTAAATTATGATTGCTATGCTAATATTTAGTGTACAGGGCTCTCGGCCTCCAAGAGAGCAGCCTCAGTGCCTCATACCTCCTTGCTTCATGCTCTTGTCCACTTTAGGAGATTACTGTCTGCATTGCCCTTGTGTGATTTGAGGAAGATTGGATTAGTTGATTTTGTGTGGTTTTTATTTCTGGTATGTTCTTTTCACGAAGAGAGGGAGAGAGAGCGAGAGAGGGAGGCTGGAATGAGGACAGTATGAAAAAAAATGATGCTTCTGCCTCTTCACCTTGTGTTTTGTGCTTCCTTGCTACAACTTTGTGCTTCTACCATTTTAAAGTGGATCTTTATTTTTATTGTTCCATGGGAATGTGTATTTATACATTATTTATTATTCATAAAGTATATTTTCTTATTTTAAAAGATGTAACCAAAAAAAATGGGGGACTGGAATTGATTAATAGTATTTCAAGGGGGAAATGTGCTTTGAGATTTGAGCAATTTGAGTTAAACGTCCGGTAATGGGAGATGCTGACAAGCTGAAATGTGTCCAGAGGAGGGCAAGTAAAATGAGGGTCTGGAGAACAAGCCTTATGAGGAGCGTCTTAAAGAGCTGGTCATGTTTAGCCTGCAGAAGAGAAGGCTGAGAGGAGACATATTTCTACATGATGGCCATGTATAAATATGTGAGGGAAAGTCATAGAGAAGAGGGAGCAAGCTAAATAAATAGATAAATAAGCAGACACTGCCAGATGATGTAGCATTTTCTGTAGCCAGAGAAGAAGATTGTAAAGACAGTGGAAAGAAAAACCCTCATCATGCAGATTGTAGCTCATTGGACAATCACAATGCTTGGGAAAGCAGAAGGCAGTAGGAACAGGTGGAGGCTACACTACAAATGGACTGAGTCAACCAAGGATGCTGTGGCAAAACCCGAGCTTTCAAGACCTGAACAGGGGTTCTTATAAGGTCTCGCACTCATAGGGTCACCATATACTGAAGTCCAACTTAATAGCAAATAACAATCCCAGCAGTTTGTTGATATTTGTTCCCTCACTTTTGTATCTTACACACAAAGGTACAAACAATCACATAGTGTACCTCCCACTCAGGATAATCATGTTGCTTCAGAGGCCCCTTATGTGTTCCTGGCAATACTACGAGGCATCCATTTCTGCGATCAATCCTTTCCATTGCAGTCCAGGCACAAACAATGCGATCTGCAGGCCGGAATGGGAAATAATGCAAATCCTGGTGGAGTGGATGGCGAGAACTCTTCTTTCCTGCAGAAATGCATTATAGAAATGAGCTGCAGTATTCTTTAAGAAAATTGTGTCAATATTTCAATGTTTCTATCATCATATGCATCCATCCATAATAGAAACATGGTTACTGGGTATTTTTTTATCTATCTTAGAATAAATCTGTCTTCCTCCAGTTAATCTCACATGGGAAAACACAGCAGGAGACATATTCAGGAATACTGAAAACAAAGAGCATTGATGTTTTGCCAGTCAAACTCCAGTTCTCAAATCCAAACTCTTTTCATTGGTTGAGGAATTCTGTGTGGTTGTTTGCTTTTGTTTCTTGGAGATATACACTTTTATATCTTTTGTCATGGAATACTATGATCCTATAAATGGCATGTGTCATCTAGACTTCTGTCACGGTAATCAGCTCTCTTACAGTGAGAAAAGGTCAACTAGAATTGTATTTTAATACAACTATATCTGCTGGTTTGAACATTTTAAATAGAGCCCCTGGAGGAGCAATGGGTCAAACCCTTGTGCCAGCAGGACTGTGTCAGAGTATTTATGTTTGCCAGCGGAAGGATTGCCAGAGCAGTAGACACTGTATGCGAAATAAGGACTCTGCAGTCTTTCAGTTACAAAAGAAAACTAAGTTTTACTAAGTACATCAAACATACGTCTTAACACAGCAAGCTACAAATAGGAACAAGTGGAAAAACAAAAGTCTCTCTGCACACCTGCTTATCTCTCTTCACTCTGGCTGAGATGGTTGACTCCCTTCTGTTCCCAGCCAGAACATACATTATCTCATTTCTCTCAAGGTTACTTAATCACAGCCTCATGAACATTCTGCATAGCAATTTCTAACACATAGTAGACTCCATCTTGAAATTACAGAGAAATACAGTTGAAAACACACATATAACTAAATTAATCCTGACAGACTGCTGACCGAAATGTCAGCAGTTCAAATCCAGGGAGCAGGGTGAGCTCCCATCTGTCAGCTCCAGCTTTCCATGCAGGGACATGAGAGAAGCCTCCCACAGAATGGTAAAACATCTGGGAGTCCCCTGGGCAACATCCTTGCAGACGGCCAATTATCTCATACTGGAAGTGACTTGCAGTTTCTTAAGTCACTCCTGACATGGAAAAAAAAACATTTTAAATTACCGTTTGTAAATTTCCTTACCAGGATCTGGAGGTTTATTTATGAGCATGGTGTGCATAGCCATGATGTTTGGTCCAACCATGCATTCAACATATTTCAGTATCTGAAACAAAGAAAGTAACACATGAAATATGTATTGAAACCTACTATAGCAAATCACATCAGATAACGTGAGAAGAAGCTGACATATAATGAGCCAAGGTGGTTCGTTTCACTCATAAGCCCAATGGTGAAGAAGCTAGTTTTGTAGAACTTGTAGAATTCTATGGATCCTTCCACACTGCCAAATAATCTAGATTATCAAAACAGATAATCCAGATTATTTGATTTGAACTGGATTATATGTCTACACTGATATATAATCCAGTTCAAAGTAGATAATCTTGATTTTATATAGCAGTGTAGAAGTGGCCAAAATCTGTTTGTAAAATTGATGTGCTGTGCAAGACCAGCACAGGATTCAAGATTCTTCCTGGGATTTTAACATTTCAACATAAATCTATGGAGAAGAATCCGATCTAGACACCTCTGGAGTCCTGTGTATTTCTGCATATGGTTAACTTTTATTGTATTGCATTTCATGTTCAGAGAGAACATCACTGCCATCCTATGCTAACAGCTTGATTACCAAAAAGAAATATTAATATATAATCTTAGAAGTAGCTGGAAAATTGTTCAATAACTCTCTAAAACAGGATGGCTCTACTTTCTTAGAATAAGCTACATAGATCATACACAATGGTAAGAGATGTCCACATACTGAATATACATGAATATAAGCCTAGTTTTTCAGCCCCTGTTTTAGGCTGAAAAAGCTTATACTCGAGTCAAGGTTATTTATTCTTTTACTGTTATAAGTATTATTTTTATTACATTTATTATTTTCCTCTATTATTATTATATTTACATTATTTTACTCTATTATTATTCCATCTCTTATTTTGCTCTATTATTATTACATTTACAGTATTTTACCCTATTATTACTACTACATTTATTATTTTACTCTATTATTATTGTTTTTATTGCATTTTCATTATTTTACTCTCTTATTATTTTTATTACATTTACAATTTTAATAATAAGTACATTTACATTGAAGGAGGTTAGAACAATGGTTTAATCAGAGTTGAACAGTCTTATCTTAAATTGCAATTTTATGAAAATATTCAAAAACATTTAGTCTATTGATGCCTCAATTAATGTAATTTTATTGGTATCTATTTTTATTTTGAAATCGACCCATAGTGGATGCATTTCCCACCCTCGGCTTATACACGAGTCAATACGTTTTCCCAGTTTTTTGTGGTAAAATTAGGTGCCTCAGCTTATATTCGGGTCGGCTTATACTCAAGTATATATGGTAATTAATTTAGCTCAAGTACATCATTCAGATCCCCACAGTAAAATGCAAACAGTTTCAGACTTCCCAATATTCCTTTTTACCTGAGGCAAAGTACAATATCTGAAGAGTTCTTCGTCACCTATAAAGTCTTGTATTTTTGTAATTGCTTTTTGATCTGCAATGAACTCTGACTTGGCAATTGCAATATCTCTCATGATCACCAGTCCAGGCACTTTCACCTCATTTCTGCAGATCTTCATGAACTCATTTCTGAACGAAGGATTTTTTAAGAGACAGAAAAGTCAGTTACTAATTTGAGTTTGACTAGTAAAACAATTCTGTTGCCCTTAAATCAGGGGTTCTATTGGGGAAGGAGGGGGGTTGGACTAGTTTGAAAAAAAGATGAACAAATTCCAAAGCACACAGCATGTATCTTATTTGCAGTGCAAAACAAATATGAAAAAACAATACAATATTTAAAATGAAGAACAATTTTAACCAATATAAACTTATCAGTATTTCAGTGGGACTCTCATTAGGACTATTGTTGTGTGCCTTCAAGTCATTTCAGACTTAGGTTGATCCTAAGTCTAAAGTTTAGGGTTGGGGCTGGGTAAATTACCTTGGAGGGCCGCATTCGGCCCTCGGGAGTTAGTTTGGGGAGCCCTTCCTTAAAGGAATGAACTGAATGCTTCTAGTAAGAAAAATTATGTATAACATGTCGAACTAGTGATAATCTGTCAGGAACCACATGGGCTGCAAACAATGCCAAACAAACCCCAACAATGTCAAACAAAGTGGCAAGATGCCTTCCTCTAATTTTGAGAAATAAACACAATATTTCTAATAAATAGATCCTGCAGCCTATTTAAAAGAGAAATTGTCTGGGTTGTTGTAAGTTTTTTCGGGCTATGGTCATGTTCTAGAGGCAAGCATCCTCAGAGGTTGTGAGGTCAACACAACATCCTCAAAGGAGAAATTGTCATTCCTAGAGTTTCTAATGAGAACCAGGATTGTGTCGTGGTTTGAGCATTTGTACTATATGGTTCAAATACCAGCTCATCAAAGGAAATCCACTGGGTGACTTTGGGCATATCACACTCTCATACACAAATGTAACACACACACTTCAACAAATTTTGACAAGAGAACTGTATGATCGGCTTGTCTTAGATTTGTCAGAGGTTATAAATGACTTGAAGGCACATAGCAACAACAACAGGTTTCCAGGAGCACAAATGCACTCCTTTTGGACAAAAAATGCACTCTAATCAGTTTGAAGACAACAAAAATAGCCTTGGGACCACATACAGCCCACTTCCATCACCACTGTTTTTGACAATCTCTCTGAAGAGATGCAGGAGAACAGATATTTACCTGAAACATTCAATATCCTCACTGGAAACCAGATTTCTGATGACTAGATAGCCATTCTCCTCATAGAAGTGTCTTTGTTCAGTGCTAAGGAGGTTATTATCCAATGTGTAACTGTAAAGACATAAAAATAAACAAACAAATATATGTAAAAAAGATCAAAATGCTAAGAAAAAAACTGAAAGGAATATGTTTAAAAATCAATAAAGTTGTTTCTGAAATGTAAGATGCAGGAGAGGAAAAAGGTAAGTACAGGCATAGGAAGATGTCATCTGATGACCCTATTGATACAGCACTGATACAGCATCGCAGTGACCAAATAAATAAACCTATATAAATAAAAATGTAATGTTCGTTTGTGGGATTAACAGAACTCAAAAACCACTGGACGAATTGACACCAAATTTGGACACAAGACACCTAACAACCCAATGTCTGTCCTTCACTCAAAAAATGATTTTGTCATTTGGGAGTTGTAGTTGCTGGGATTTATAGTTCACCTACAATCAAAGAGCATTCTGAACTCCACCAACGATGGAATTGAACCAAACTTGGCACACAGTTCTCCCATGACCAACAGAAAATACTGGAAGGGTTTGGTGGGCAGTGTCCTTTGGTTTTGGAGTTGTAGTTCACCTACATCCAGAGATCACTGTGGACTCAAACATGATGGATCTGGACCAAACTCTACATGAATACTCAATATGCCCAAAAGTGAATGCTGGGATTTATAGTTCACCTACAATCACAGAGCACTCTGAACACCCCCAATGATAGAATTGGGCAAAAATTTCCACACAGAACCCCCATGTGGGCCACAGCAACACGTGGCAGGGGGTGGCTAGTCATTTATATGAAACCTTGGCAGCAATTCACAGACTGGCTCAGAAAATTTTGGAATTCTAAGGCTGAACAATAAGCAGTGGCAGATGACCTTCCCTGAATGACAGCTCACACTCTGCTATTATTATTATTATTATTATTATTATTATTATTATTATTATTATTATTATTATTTATATACCGCTTTTCTCAGCCCACAGGCAACTCAATAGCCCTGTCCAAACAACTGCTATAGCCCTCTCCAGACAACCAGCAGCATTTGAAAAATGCCCCTGAACATCCTGTAACATAAGAGAGTTCTATATAAAATTCAACCATCCACATCCTGATTTTTTTTAATTCAAGAACCAAATCTTGATTTTGCCATATTATATAAGGGACCAACATTACCAAAAATTACTGAAAGACCTTTGACTCAGTTGAGATAAATGCTATCCTGAACACTCTGCACCAAGCCAGTATACATCCAGCATATGTGAACATCATAAAAAGCATCAATACAGGGTGCACAATGGATATAAAACTATTATCAGAAGTGTGTCATATCAAAAGGGTGTGTCAAGAGTACACAATATTGCCAAAACTGTTTGTGGCAACTTTGTAAAACCTTGTCCGAAAAATTATATTTAAAGGCAGGATTACAATTGATGGTAAACAACTTTCTCATCTCCTTTTTGCAGATAATTGCATCCTATTCACCAAAAATCCAGAAGATTTACAACACGATCTCCAACAACTAGTTTGACTGTCAAAATCAGTAGGACTGGAAATGAACTTGAAGAAAATGAAATGGATGAAAAATAAGCAGTGTGTCCAGGGCTGCATCGGAGATGAAACTGAGAAAGTGACTTTTTAAAATTATTTAATTTTTTATAGTTTCATAGAGTATGTAGAAAACAAAACAAATGAACAAATGGAAAAAATAAAAAATATGCAAAAGAATTACAAAAGAGTCAACATTCAGCGCTCATCAAACATATGTACAATCAGATTTGGTTGTACAATTATTTATATCTTAACATTACCTAACCCTCTATCCCACTTACATGAGGCCAAGCCCACAATACATCAATAAACAAAACATCAAATAAAACAATCATTACAATACAAATAATATAAATCACATAAACAAAAATAAGCAATAACAATCAACAGTGACATACAAGCATTTAAAAACCAATGGCCGGGGCAAATGTAATAGATTAAAATTAAAATAATGCTGACGTGACATAAACATTTTCAGAGAGAAGTGAGGGAACGCAGTCAGTCCTAACTCAATGGTAAAGTGCATTTTGATGGCATATTGCTGAGAGTTTTCCTTATTCTGGGAAGGCACACTGGAACAACCATGTTTTCAGGCTCCTCCTAAAGACTGCCAGTAGGGGCATGTCTGATGTCCTTGGGAAGTGAGTTCCAGAGTCGGGGGGCCACCACCGAGAAGGCCCTCTCCCTTGTCCCCACCAATCGTGCCTGCAAAGGAGGTGGGAGCGTGAGCAGGGCCTCTCCAGATGATCAAAGAGATTGTGTGGGTTTATACACAGAAATGCGGTCACGCAGATAGGCGGGTCTCAAACTGTTCAGGGGCTTTGTAGGTAAGAACCTGCACCTTGAATTGGGACCGGAAAATGAATGGCAGCCAGTGGAGCTCCTTAAACAGGAGGGTTGACCGCTCTCTGTAAGAAGCACCAGTTAGTAACCTGACTGCCACCCGTTGTACCAATTGAAATTTCCGGACCGTTTTCAAGGGCAGCCCCACGTAGAGTGCATTACAGTAATCCAATCTGGAGGTGACTAAGGCTCCAACACACATAGGACTGCTCTTCAAATGGCTTACTTCATACTTCGTAGATAATTTTTGCTTTAATATACTGGTGTTATGGAGAGGTTCTGGGAATCAGAAGGTCGGAGGCATTTATTTATTTATTTGCTACATTTCTATACCACCTCTCTCAGCCCGCAGGCGACTCAAGACAGTTCACAAGGCAACAATTCAATTGCAACAACACCATAAAAACATTTAAAACACTTAAAAGCATTAACATATCGATTAAGACCATAACAAATTAATAAAAATAAAAAATAAAAATATTTTTCCTTGGGTAATACTTGAGAAGAGTGGACCATGATTAGTTCTTCTCACACTCTGTTATTTGTTATGCAAAATCGACTAGTTCCATGTTAAGTCAACAAAGCGATGGTCAATGAACCTAGTGCTATCAAATCCAGTGTTAGATGCTTGATTCACCCATTTTTGACCACTGACATGTAAAACGTGATACATTTAAACTATATTTTCATGCAAGAACAGGCAGCATAAAATACAGGAACACCTACCGAAACTGTATTGGGTATTTCTCCGTAGCAAGTTGGGCTGAAGTAGGAGATGGTGCCTTGAAAGTAAATTAAGGAAATAAGATGTGGTTTTGATCAGATATTGATTTTGTGGAGAGAATAAAATCAGACTTGGGTCCCTTCTACACTGCCATATAATCCAGATTATCAAAGCAGATAATCCACATTATCTGCTTTGGACTGGATTATAGGAGTCTACACTGCCATATCATTCATTTCAAAGCAGATAATCTGGATTTGCAAAAACATGACTCATTAAAAAGGGGGAAAAACTCAAAATACAATGTAGCTTATGAAGTTCCTTTGTGTCCTATTACTATCTTAGGCTAGTCCTACACTGCTTTACATCCCAGGATCTCATTCTAGATTATCTGCTTATCCCAGATTATCTGGCAATGTGGACTCAAATAATCCAGTTCAAAATGGATAATCTGGGAGACCGGGCAGTGTAGAACCAGCCTCAGATATAACATGGAATTACAGTGAAAAAAACTGTCCCCCGTATAAAAATTATTTATCTGTATCTTTACCTGTCTTTTCAAGTAATTCGGGATTATATATGATTTCTGCTCAAGAACATCTCAGAGATCATTAGGCTAAAAAACAGTGGCAGCCACAAAATCAAAGTTTCTGGAGTATAACAACTACTTTCAAAGGAAGTACCACACAATTAGCCATGAAATAAGACTTTCAAACCAGGAACAGAACATTTTTCAAATTTTATAACTTAGTGTCATTTTATAACTTGTTAATGTAAAAATAACAAAAAATATTGTGGTTATTTCAATTAACATACATGAACTTGTTTACAGAAGGAAATTTTTTGGGTATTACGAGACAGGGTTTTGACACAGTTGCTACCCCGCTTTATACATTTTTGAAGTGTAACTTTGAAATATCATACATGTGAAAATGCTCTCTATAGTCCCAAGCTTGGCAGGTTTGATTTCACAATCAAGAGATGATAACAACTGAATAAACCATAATGAAATGACCTTTCTGCTACATAAGTTTGAAGAACTTGATCCTGGTTCCCACAAACCTGTGTATCCAGAGTTTATCTGGATATATTGAATAACAGCAAGCGGCAGCATATTCAAGCTGTTTATCCCTCAAATGTATGGAAAAAATACCAGAGGAAGTTTTTTTTTAAAATTTGTGCACTCCTATAGGAGTGAAAAATAGAATTGTATTCCAAGGGTGAAAGATTTCAGAATATATCCAGTTATCTCTTGCCCCTTTCTAGGGGTAAGGAGAGAGCAGAGTCCAACAACATGATTGTTGTTGTTCATTCGTTCAGTCGTCTCCGACTCTTCGTGACCTCATGGACCAGCCCACGCCAGAGCTCCCTGTCGGCCGTTACCACCCCCAGCTCCCTCATATAATCACAACATGATTATATGCCTTTATATCATTATATCCCTCTTATGCAACCACAAGATGTACAAAGGTCAGAGGCAGAACTGAAAGTATAAAACAAATAAACAAAAACCAGGACAACCAGAGTCCAACCATGGGATAGGGAAAAAAATGCTCCTTTCCAAAGTTACCCTCTTGAAACAATGCAGAGAATACTTAGAAAAGGATATCCAGACCAAGGTATAAGGACCAAATCTGAAACAGATTCATGTGACTCATGATTGTGGCGATGGGCAAATGCTATTGCCCTGCAGTTGTGTTCCTCATTTCTTCTGCTTCAGCACATGAAGTTGTTCTTATTGCTTATTTGTATATAATTAAACATTAAATACTGCATTTTGAAAATTCTGGATATTACATTGTTGTCCCAGATACTTTTAAGAGAGAATAGTTGTTATCATGCACCTTGTTTTTTGTGATTATGTATCTTTAAGTCAATGCCCATTTATGATGACCCAAAGGCAAAGATAACCTATTTCCAAAGCTCCACGTCTATGCAAGGCCCCTTCTACACTGCAATATAAAATCCTGATTATCTGCTTGAATTCCCCCAGCAACAACATGGGTATCCCTGTGGGCAGCTAAACCAGGAAATTCCAACTGGATGGTCCCTCACGAGGGTCTTCCTCCAGGGGCAAACCAAGAATGGGCAACTTGGAAGTCCCTGAACAGACTCAGAAGTGGAGTGGGCAGATCAAAAGACAACCTGGCAAAATGGCACTACCTAAAAGAATCCCACACCTTGTGTGACTGAGCAGACCTCTGAGGAAGCTTGCCATAGATGCAGGCGAAACGTCAGGAGAAATGCCTCTAGAACATGGCCATATAGCCCGAAAAAACCCACAAGAACTGAATCCCACACCTTGTGTGACTGTGGAGCAGAACAGACAACTCCGCATCTGTATGCTTGCCCACCATGCCCTGCCTCATGTACAGAGGAGGAATTGTTGGAGGCTACAGACAATGCCGTTGCTGTTCCCATTTTTGGTCAAAGATATTTAGCCGCCTGTGCTCCTTCTATTTTTATCAACTTTTAAGTTCCTCATAACTATAGCCATCAACTTTGAATTCCTTATAACTAGAGCACTCAACTTTTAAGTTATTCATAACTATAGCCATCAACTTTGAATTCCTCATAACTAGACCTGTCAACTTTTAGTTCCTCATAACTAGAGCCATCAACTTTGAATTCCTTATAACTAGACCTGTCAACTTTAAGTTCCTCATAACTAGAACCATAACTTTGAATTCCTTATAATTAGACCTGTCAACTTTTAGTTCCTCATAACTAGAGCCATCAACTTTGAATTCCTTATAACTAGACCTGTCAACTTTTAGTTCCTCATAACTAGAGCCATGAACTTTGAATTCCTTATAACTAGACCTGTCAACTTTTAGTTCCTCATAACTAGAGCCATCCACTTTGAATTCCTTATAACTAGACCTGTCAACCTTTAGTTCCTCATGACTAGAGCCATAACTTTGAATTCCTTATTAAACCAGTCAACTTTTAGTTCCTCATAACTAGAGCCATCCACTTTGAATTCCTTATAACTAGAGAACTCAACTTTTAGTTCCTCGTAACTAGAGCCATGAACTTTGAATTCCTCATAACTAGAACCATCAAGTTTGAATTCCTCATAACTAGAGAACTCAACCTTTAAGTTATTCATAACTATAGCCATCAACTTTGAATTCCTCATAACTAGACCTGTCAACTTTTAGTTCCTCATAACTAGAGCCATGAACTTTGAATTCCTCATAACTAGAACCATCAAGTTTGAATTCCTCATAACTTGAGAACTCAACTTTTAAGTTACTCATAACTATAGCCATCAACTTGGAATTCCTTATAACTAGACCTGTCAACTTTTAAGTTCCTCATAACTGGAGCCGTCAACTTTGAGTTCCTCATAAGTAGACCTGTCAACTTTAAGTTACTCACAAACAGAGCCGTCAATTTGAGTTTCTTATAACTAGAAAATTCAACTGTAAGTTATTCATAACTACAGCCATCATTTTTCAGTTACTCATAACTGCTGCTGTCAACTTTAAGTTCCTCATAAGCAGAGGAACTTTAAGTTCCTCACAGCTAAAGCCATCAACTTTTCCTCATAACTACAGCCATCCACTTGGTTGGGTGCCTTCAAGGCCAAAGTCTATGTAGTTTGGTACTTTAACTACCCTGGCTCAATGCTGGGGAGTCCTGGGAGTTGTAGTTTTCCTGGAAACCACCAGCAGGCCTGGGCAGAGAAGAGGAAAGGCCTTGTGACGCGACAAACCCCAGGATTCCATAACACTGGGCCACGCCAGTTGAAGGGGCGCCAGCAGACATTATGGGGGTGCCCGCCAAAACCTAAGGAGCTTGACTGCCGAGCCAAAACAGAAGGCAAAGGATACGAGGGTGGCTCCCGCAGCCCGGGAGGGGGAGAGGTGGCCCAGCAGGACTTCCAGGCGGAGAGCGGCTACCCGACCTCCGTGTCCCTCCATAGCGCCTCCCCGACTGAGTCCTAGGCCTGACCGCGCAGCCCAAGGGGGGGGGAGCAAGGAAAGCGACGCTTGTGATTGGCTGCTCTCTTCTTGACGGACCCGCCCCCTCGAAAAATATTATATCCTGGGCAGCCCCGCCTCTCTGGCGTCTCTGTGACGCGAGGTGGGCGTGTCCACTTTTAGGAGAGGGAGGGAGGAGACCTGCTGGGAAAAGAGGGGTGTATACACTGTGAGACTGTGATCTATGGAAATAAAAATGCTCTTGTCGAAGGCTTTCATGGCTGGAATCACTAGGTTCTTGTGGGTTTTTTCGGGCTATAGAGCCATGTTCTAGAGGCATTTCTCCTGACGTTTCGCCTGCATCTATGGCAAGCATCCTCAGAGGTAGTGAGGTCTGTTGGAATTAGGACAATGGGTTTATATATCTGTGGAATGGCTGGGGTGGGGCAAAGAGCTTTCCTCTGCTGGAGCTAGGTGTGAATGTTTCAACTGACCACCTTCATTAGCATTTGAAGGCCTGGCTGAGCCTGGGAAAATCTCTTGCTGGGAGGTGTTAATCTGTGCCTGGTTGTTTCCTCTCTGTTGTTTTGCTGTTATAATTTTAGAGTTTTTTAATACTGGTAGCCAGATTTTGTTCATTTTCATGGTCTCTTCCTCATAACTAGAGCAACACAACATACAAACAATCTACAAACCCACCAAGAAAATCCAACAAATGCTACATTCAGCAAAGGACAAGAGGGATCCTCCCACCTCTGCAGGAGTCTACCATATACCATGAAGCTGTGGACAAGTCTACATAGGGATCACCAAACGCAGCACTGCCCAAACACGCATCAAGGAACATGAAAGGCACTGCAGACTACTTCAACCAGAGAAGTCAGCCATAGCAGAGCACCTGATGAACCAGCCTGGACACAGCATATTATCTGAGAACACAGAAATGCTGGACCACTCTAACAACTACCATATCAGGCTACACAGAGAAGCCATTGAAATCCACAAGCATGTGGACAATTTCAACAGAAAGGAAGAGACCATGAAAATGAACAAAATCTGGCTACCAGTATTAAAAACTCTAAAATTACAGCAGCAAAACAGCAGAGAGGAAACAACCAGGCACATCTTAACACCTCTCAACAGGTTTTCCCAGGCTCAGCCAGGCCTTCAAATGCTAATGAAGGTGATCAACTGAAACATTCACACCTAGCTCCAGCAGGGAAGAGCTCCTTGCCCCACCCCAGCCATTCCACAGATATATAAACCCATTGTCCTAATTCCAACAGACCTCACTACCTCTGAGGATGCTTGCCATAGATGCAGGCGAAACGTCAGGAGAAATGCCTCTAGAACATGGCTCTATAGCCCGAAAAAACCCACAAGAACCTATAAAAATGCTCGTTTGTGGGATTAACATAATTCGAAAACTACTGGACGAATTGACACCAAATTTGGACACAAGACACTTACACACCCAAGGAGTGACCATCACTCAAAACAAATTGATTTTGTCATTTGGGAGTTGTAGTTGCTGGGATTTATAGTTCACCTACAATCAAAGAGCATTCTGAACTCCACCAATGATGGAATTGAACCAAGTATGGCATACAGGACTCCCATGACCAACAGAAAATACTGGAATGGTTTGGTGGGCAGTGTCCTTTGGTTTTTGGAGTTCACCTACATCCAGACATCACTGTGGACTCAAACAATTATGGATCTGGGCCAAACTTGGCACAAATATTCCATATGCCCAAATATGGAGTTTGGGGGAAATAGACCTTGACATTTGGGAGTTGTAGTTGCTGGGATTTATAGTTCACCTACAATAAAAGTGCATTCTTAACGGCACTAATGATGTAATTGAACCAAGCATGGCATACAGGACTCCCATGACTAACAGAAAACACTAGAAGGGTTTGGTGGGCATTGACCTTGACATTTGGGAGTTGTAGTTGCTGGGATTTATAGTTCACCTACAATAACAGTGCATTCTGAACGGCACTAACGATGAAATTGAACTAAACTTGGCATACAGGACTCCCATGACCAACAGAAAATACTGGAAGGGTTTGGTGGGCAGTGTCCTTTGGTTTTTGGAGTTGTAGTTCACCTACATCCAGACATCACTGTGGACTCAAACAATGATGGATGTGGACCAAACTTGGCACAAATATTCCATATGCCCAAATATGGAGTTTGGGGAAAATAGACCTTGACGTTTGGGAGTTGTAGTTGCTGGGATTTATAGTTCACCTACAATCAGAGAGCATTCTGAACTTCACCAATGATGGAATTGAACCAAGCATGCCATACAGGACTCTCATGACCATCAGAAAACAGTAGAAAGGTTTGGTGGGCATTGACCTTGACATTTGGGAGTTGTAGTTGCTGGGATTTATAGTTCACCTACAATCAAAGAGCATTCTGAACTCCACCAATGATGGAATTGAATCGACCAGGGCATACAGTTCTCCCATGACCAACAGAAAATACTGGAAGGGTTTGTTGGGCAGTGTCCTTTGGTTTTTGGAGTTGTGGTTCACCTACATCCAGACATCACTGTGGACTCAAACAATGATGGATCTGGACCAGACTTGGCACAAATATTCCATATGCCCAAATATGGAGTTTGGGGAAAATAGACCTTGACATTTGGAAGTTGTAGTTGCTGGGATTTATAGTTCACCTACAATCAAAGAACATTCTGAACTCCACCAATGATGGAATTGAACCAAGCATGGCATACAGGACTCCCATGACCGACAGAAAACACTAGAAGAGTTTGGTGGGCATTGACCTTGATGTTTGGGAGTTGTAGTTGGTGGGATTTATAGTTAACCTACAATAAAAGTGCATTCTGAACGGCATTAACGATGAAATTGAACCAAACTTGGCACACAGGACTCCCATGACCAACAGAAAACACTGGAAGGGTTTGGTGGACATTGACCTTGAGTTAGGGAGTTGTAGTTCACCTACATCCAGAGAGCACTGTGGACTCAAACAATGATGGATCTGGACCAAACCTGGCACAAATATTCCATATGCTCAAATATGGAGTATGGGGGAAATAGACCTTGATATTTGGGAGTTGTAGTTGCTGGGAATTATAGTTCACCTACAATCAAAGAGCATTCTCAACACCACCAACGACAGAATTGGGACAAACTTCTCACACAAAACCCCCATGACCAACAGAAAATACTCAAGGCCACCCAGTCCAATTCGCTTCACCAAGGAAAGAAAACGTAATCAAAGCCCTCCTGACAAAGAGCCATCCAGCCACAGATATATATATCTGTATATATATAATTCACAGAGAGAGAGAGATAGTATCATAGATTTGAAAGGGACCCCTAAAGAAGGACAACTATATGTTGCATATTCCAGAGCAGGCAAACCATACAATCTCCACATCAATACTGACAAAGAAACAACAAGAAATACTGTTTACCCACAAGCATAAAGACATTAGAAACCAACACTTTCCCATTACTTTATTTTTCAGATCACCAGACTGGGCCACAGCAACACGTGGCAGGGGACAGCTAGTCTATATAAATAAAAATGTAATGTTCATTTGTGGTATTCACAGCACTCAAAAACCACTGGACGACTTGACACCAAATTGGACAGCATACACCTAACAACTCAATGTATGTCCTTCACTCATAAAAACACTGAAAAACACTGCAGAAGGGACTAAAAAGCCCCCAAAAGCTAAATGACGAAAAGCTAAACGACAATACAGAAAAAGGGAAGAAAGAGGGAGGGAAGGGGAAGAAGAAAGAAAGAAAGAAAGAAAAGAGAAGAAAAGAAAAAGAAAAGAAAGAGGGAGGGAGGGAGGGAAAACAGGAAGGTAAGGGATAAGGAATAATGATGGAATTGAACCGAGCATGGCATACAGGACTCCCATGACCAACAGAAAACACTAGAAGGGTTTGGTGGGCATTGAACTTGAGTTAGGGAGTTGTAGTTCACCTACATCCAGAGAGCACTGTGGACTCAGACAATGATGGATCTGGACCAAACTTGGCACAGATATTCCATATGCCCAAATATGGAGTTTGGGGGGAATAGAACTTGACATTTGGGAGTTGTAGTTGCTGTGGAACGATTCCATCAGCGCTGCCTCTGGAAAATCCTGTAAATCTCTTGGGAAGACAGGCAGACAAACGTCAGCGTGCTGGAAGAAGCAAAGACCACCAGCATTGAAGCGATGGTCCTCCGCCATCAACTCCGCTGGACCAGCCATATTGTCCAGATGCCCGACCACCATCTCCCAAAGCAGTGTCTCTACTCTGAACTCAAGAACGGAAAACGGAATGTTGGTGGGCAGGAAAAGAGATTTAAAGATGGGCTCAAAGCCAACCTTAAAAACTCTGGCATAGACACTGAGAACTGGGAAGCCCTGGCCCTTGACCGCTCCAGGTGGAAGTCAGATGTGATCAGCAGTGCTGCAGAATTTGAAGAGGCACGAATGGAGGGCGAAAGGGAGAAGCGTGCCAAGAAGAAGGCGCGTCAAGCCAACCCCGACCAAGACCGCCTTCCACCTGGAAACCAATGCCCTCACTGCGGAAGAAAATGCAGAGCAAGAATAGGGCTCCACAGCCACATACCGACCCACAAGAACACTGGAAGACAATCCTCCTCAGAAAACGAGGGATCGCCTAAGTAAATGTGCTTTACTTCTTAATACTACTTACTGTATCCAAAGAAGTGCGGTTATATCTACACATAAAAAACTAGTTAATCCTCAGGGTAATCTCACATTTCCATTTTATTCCCCCTCTCTTGTATGCTAGATTGCAGAAACTGATATTAGTAACTATTTTCTTATATTAAATAGGGTTATGTAACGTGTTTTCCCAAAGAGGGCAAAGTGTTATGCAGAGTTGCCTCATAGGTTAACGTACTGTTTGGCTCACATTCTAGCTTTGGTGATTGTGCAAGGCATTGTCAACACTCTTCATATTTTACAAAGAAAATCCTAACCCTGTTTATATCTCAGCTTTCATGCTTAAATGAGCATCA